CCTGCTTGGGGTGAGGGGCCCAGCGCTGAGCACAGCATTTGAGGGGCGGCCTCACCAGTGCCCAGCACAGGGGCACCATCACCTCCATGGTCCTGCTGGCCACACTGTTCCTGATACAAGCCAGGATGCCATTGGCCCTCTTGGCCACCTGGGCACACTGCTGGCTCATGTTCAGGCAGCTGTTGACCAACACCCCCAGGTCCTTTTCCGCCAGGCAGCTCTCCAGCCACTCCTCCCCACGCCTGTAGCGTTGCATGGGGTTGTTGTGACCCAAGTGCAGGACCAGGCCCTGAGCCTTGTTGACCCTCACACAGTGGCCTGGGACCATCGCTCCAGCCTGGCCAGGTCCCTCTGCAGGGCCTTCCTACCCTCCAACAATCGACACTTCCACCCAACGTGGTGTCATCTGCAAACTTACTGAGGGTGCACTCGATCCCCTCATCCAGATCATCAATGAAGATATTGAACAGGACCAGCCCCAATACTGAGCCCTGGGGAACACCACTCGTGACCAGCCGCCAACTGGATTTGCCTCCATTTTCAGTCACTCTGTGAATTTTTTTAAGTTGTTTGTTTTTTTTTTTTTTTCTTTTAAATACCTAATCAGAATTTTTTATGTGGCAGCTTATGTCTGCTGCCTCTATCCTATCACTGTGTACATCTAAAGAGTCTCAGTCTTCTCCACAATCTTCCACCTTGTAGCAGAGACTGCACTTCGATCCCACCTTCACTTTCTCCCCTCCAGCCTGAGCACATCAGGTTCTCCCAGCCCCTTCTGCACTTCATCTGCCCGAACCAGCCGGGTGGCCCTCCACCAAAGCATCTCGAGTTCATCAGTGCCACTGCTGTACCACGAAGCCCCAAACCAGGCACAGCATGTGAAACGCAGATTCACGAGCACTGAACAGAGCAGTCGCCTCCCTTGACGGGCTGGCTGCAGTCTTGCTGATACAGCCCAGCGTGTGTCCTCTTCTGTGAAGTCTCCCTCTGAAGCTACAAACAAAAGTTCATGTTGTCCTCCATCTTCTAAATGAAAAAATTGGTTTGCCTTTTATTTTTAAATCCTCCCCTCTTGCGAGGTCTTACTAGAAGTGCTTGCATTAAAAAAAAAAAAAAAAAAATCACGGAATTCACTTAAGACCCAGAATTCCACTTTACCTATACAGAAGCTGGATCACCACAGCTGGAACGCCACCAGTTAGTCAGTCCGTCAGGTTCGGTTATAACACTCCCGAGACTGCAACTAGCAGCGAATCAGAGCGAGAAGTGGCGTGGTAGCTGGCTGGCCGTAACTGCAGAGCTAGCCAGGCCACCCGGCTAACATCCCCGCCTGCCTGCGCTGCCCCAGCCACCCAGGCACCGTGGCTTCTGAGTGACAACCCGGGCCTCACACCCGACACGTGTCCTGACTGATGAGCAGCGCCGAAACGTGCATAATATCAAACACTAAAGTAAAATATTAGACATAAAATATCAGACATAAAATATCTTCAGGAAATGACAAAGTTTCCACAGTAGTATTTCCTTGAACCTGTGAACAAGAGCAGCCAATTCCATTTACTTCTTCATGTGGGTACACACATGGGTGCAACTCTGAAAGAGCTGCTAGAATTGGCAACATCTGCACAGAGCCAGAAAACTGGGCACCACCAAAAGCTTTCCATAGGTGCTTCTATAATAGGAGCGAGGTCTGTTCCTAGCCGTACAGAGCCAGAAGTCAGCTACCCTTTCCTATTAGTATTGAAGAGCAACCTAAACTTGTTACAAAAGCAAGGTGCCCAGACTCGTTTCTACAGCTTTGTCTCTAAAATTGGACTTGTGTTGTTTCGTTGCAGACATGGCAGAGCCGATCCAGCAGCTGACCAGAAGTAACAATCCCCAGGACAGACGGACCGTCCCATTTACCCTGATCCAGCGCAAAGAAAACGTACAGTTTCCCTTCCCAGTTGAGGTTTTAACAGTGTTTTCAGTATTCATACCTAGCTTCCAAAAACATGTTTCTTTATAAAATTACTTTAACCGTTTAGGATTTTTAACATCATAAGTGCAAAGCATTATAACTGGATAACTACATTTCATTTTTAACATCTCGCCACTTTTACATGTGTGAAGTTTTCTTTTTTGTAAGGTAGGAACTAGCAGAAATGTCAGGAGATGGCATTTTGTGACATTTTATAATTAATTTAACAAAACACCCTCATATTTTGACATTTGAAATAAAAATGCCTATTTTCTTCATTTAAATCAATGCATTTGCTTCTCTACACAATCATGTTAATAAACCTTAGCAAAGAATACTTGAAAGAGATTAATATCTAATTTAAAACCAAATACGTGCTTTTGTATCGTGGGTCACTATCAATCAAAGAAGCAATTTGCAAATCCATCTCATCAAAACCATCCTATCCTCTAATAAAAAATGGAAATTAATGTCCAGCAAATTGTTTACAGCTCAGGAAATGTGCAAACAAGTGTCTAACCTTACATACATGACAAATCAAGAAAATCTTTACTAACCATGTATGAAGAATTCTTGTCACATTTCTTTTTAAACAGATCTATATAATTCAAATGTATAAACGTCACAATTTGATTGAGTGTATTTCATCTAAACAGTCTGGGACTCCTGACTACTTATGTTGTAATTAAATGCTTGAAATTTCTCAGTTCTACTGTAATAACTGCAGATAAAAAATAAGGTTATTCAGTGTTAATTGCAACTAAATGTTTAATACTGCAAGTCCACAAGATCCCTTATTTTAAAGAACTACCCAGAAGTCTGCTGAAATAAATTTTGGTCCAAGATCAGCAGCATATCCCTTCTTGATCTGTACGAGGAGGGACTGAAATTCACATGTTCCTTTCAAGATCGTTTCACTGACGGTTGAAAAAAGATGCAATTATTCTTGTACTCAAGTAAGACGCATACACTGCGTTGGTTCTGGATATCTGCTGATTATATACCAGCTTGCACCTTGAAATGAAGTGCATGTGAACTAAGTACTAAACAGAATGCACTTAAGGTATAGCTGACCCTGAGGCTTAAAATCATTCCTCAGGCCTGCCGTTCTCCTGGTCACACACCTAGAGAAGCTGATTTCTTGGTGCTATAAGTAAAGCACTGAAATATTGCTTGACTTTCATTTGTTTGCTTGGGTTTTTTAGATTATTAACTTAAAATACAGAATTATCATCTTACTGTGTTTGCAGCTTGGAGATCTGCTTTATGAAAAACGTCAGTACGGAAAAGCCAAATGGGCTTGTATAAAAATGAAAGAAAAACAGTATGAACAGAGCATATGCCTTGGATTCATGAAGCTTATGAGGTACATTTGTGAGCAGAATTCCTCAGGTAATTGGTACCACAATTCCACATTAAAGTTAAAACATTATATTTATGCACTAGCTCCTCCTAACTGGGGAGATACTTGTATCAGCTTTTTCCAAATACACCCCCTGTCTATAGGGACATTTTCCTGTAACGCAGCCTTTCCAGCAGTCTAAACCGAAGCACGGCTCCCCCCGCATACGTGCTGCCGCCGCTGCTGCCAGGGGCACTGTGACCACTACAGCTGCCCGGGAGATGACACTGGCTATTTCTGTAGGCTGTCAGCTATAAGTTAGGCTTTTGCTATGGAATTTGAGAGGTTTAGTTGTCACAGCAGTACTGAAATCGCCTATTCTAAGAACCTATTCAGTGTAATGCCAAGAGAGACCATGATGTTTTGCTTCCTTTGTTTTTGTTTATGACACTTAAATTGTGCATGTCTGAACGGACACCAAAAATCTCTGTGGTTGAAACCTATTTTCCAGGAAGATAATCCAGTTTTAACTCAAGTACTTTAAAATAACGGCAAGTCCACCATGTCCTTGATAGCTTGTACCTGCATGAAAAGTGTGCACCTAGTTTCCACTCTAATTTAATCTGGTTTCACCTTCCAGCCATCAGTTCTCTTTTTTTTCATTCTCTGGTTGTTTAAAAAACTTTGCAGTGCCTGGTGTTTTGTTTTGTAATAGTGCACGTGTTGTAATCAAGTCAACCCTTCATTCTCTTTCCAAGAACCTACAAACACTGATCACAAAAGCTTTTCCTTAATCGGGTATTTTCCCCACTCTCCCCATTCTTTTAACACTTTCACATGGTTTAAAAGTGATTTTGGCCTCAGAACGGTGCAGTTTTGTTTTCAAACTGTGTACAGAAGCAAAGTTCCCACTCCTAGTCGTCACTGCTACCTGCACAGTCAAAACAACCATTTCTTATAGCACTGCAAAAATATAGCAACATTTTTGATAACAGCAAATCCTAAACGAATTCACAATGCAGCCCCCTTATCTTGCCTACATTCTTTGTTCCCAAATATTTAAAACATGATACAAGGTCAGTTTACAAGATAAACGCAGCCCTCTTAAGAGGGGAAAAGAAGTTAAGTCAAACTCCTTGCCCTACCTGAAGACAAGAGTGCTCACCAAATACTACATTTTAGACACACATGCACACATATTTGCACAGGTAGGTTTGAGAGATATACGTACACACACACAAACTACAAGGCATAGTAAAATGCTACTTCCAACTTGGAATACACAACCCCTTTCCTAAAACATCCTGCTACGCAACTCTGCTCTGTGATACTCACTTTATATTATTCAGTATGAGTTCAGAAGTCAAGCACAGTATGTAGACCTTCTTTTGTATTTTCTAAAAGCTCACCTATGTCTCCTCAGGACTGTACTTGGGGATAACAATACCCATTGTGACCATAGTCCATACAAACGAATCTCAATCGGAGATGACGCGGTCAGTGACAGTAGCGTACTACCTGCCTGAAGTGCTGCAGGACGAGCCGCCGCAGCCTTTCGACTCTGACATAATCATTGAAGAATGGCCTTCTACTATTGTTTATAGTAGGTAAGAAACATTTTAATTTTGTTCTAGTAAAAACCATAAAAAGATACAGTTTGCAATCTGGGCATGTTACATCTTTTAAATCAAGTTCTAAAAGCTAACAAACAGTAAAACTTGATTGTCAAAAGCTGCCTGCTTTATGAGACTGGGATATTCAGGAAATAATGGTTACCAGCTTACTTGGGAAAATGATGCATCTGTAAGCGTGAGATACAATAGCATCTCAAAACACAGACTATTCTGTGTAGCTGGGAACAAAGCGGCTGATGTATCACTGAAAATGTTAAGAAAAAACTGTTATGTGTTTGAGATCAGTCACAGTCAGGTAGTATCATTTGCAAAACATGACTAAATAATTTAGAAGGAGGCATTTCTAGGCTCTGGAAAAACTGTGGATTTTAAAAAGAACTTGATATGAAGTTGATTGTTACAGGAGCTTCAGAGGAATCACCAATGAAGACTCTATAATGAGAGAAATAAACATCTTGGCGGAAATTCTGGAGAGTCCCGAGTTATGTTTGCAGGACACATTCATCATTGCAGGATACACAAATCCAGCTGCTGCCAATCGACACAACGAGATATGGTTCCTTGAAAGGCCATAGCCTCCCATTTCTGATGCTTGGCAGTCACAAGACTCAGTTCTGATTTACTGGCAGAATCTGACAGGTGAACTACATGAGACTAGATGTCAAACCCTCACAGATTTTAGAAACATGCCTTTTAGCCAGTTTAGCAAGGCAATCATTCCAACTTAACAATCAGAGGTAACACCTGAAACATACGCCGTTTCCTATGTCAACTTTTACAGTTTTTACACAATTTTTATGGAGATTTTTAGCACTTTAAAGGTTAGTTCACCTTTTTTTACAAGATAAGAGAGACAGAGACCTCTCTCCTCATCACTAGCATCTCTAGACTGCTTGTGGCTTGGAACGGTCCTAGGGGAGATCCTGGAGCCCCGGCCCTGGACACCTAGTGCTGCAGCAGCTACACAAAGCCCCTGTTGGGGCTTTCAGTGGGACACACATTAAAACCACCTCACACATGCAGGCTATGCTTCAGAAAAATAATGTTCAGGTCTTAATTTCTGAAGAGAACTACCAGATTTAGACCACTGGGATTAAACCAAGGAGCAAAACTAGGCCGATGCTGACTGCTTTTAACGTCATCATCTGTGGAGCAGACATTCTTAATGCTTACCTCAAAAAGCGTTCAACCAAAGTACTTTTAACCTTGAGAAGAGACCAAGAAGGCATAACAGTCCTAATGCTCAGTAAAGCCTCGACAGCAGAAGTTACAGGTTACCTTAATCACACACTCATAGTAATCCCATGACTATATGCGGCATTCCCAAATAGAAAGCGGTCATTCTTAACTCTTCAGTTTTCTGAACGCTGTCATCTCATAACTTTGCTGAATGTTAAAACACTGCAGCTGAAGTAATTTGTTAAGTACTTTTTACACTCTTCGGGCAGTACCACACTATTAATGTTAGAAATGACACAAATATTTCACAGAATCACAGAAAAAAATTAAACTCGACGTGACCTCTGGCAGTCACCTGGTCCAGCCCTCTGCTGACAGAAGGGCCAGCGCTGCTGGCGGAGCAGCCTGCTCAGGGCCTCGCACAGCTGGATTTTGAGCATCTCCAGCGATGAGGAGCCCATACCCCCTCTGGGCTATTTCAGTATTTGACCACCCTCACTGTGAGAATTTTTCTTCCTAATACCTAATTTTCCGTGTTGCGGCTTGGTTTTTTTTCCACCCTTCATCCCTATGATAATTCTTCAAGTAGACAACTGCTAGTCTAGCACACTGTGACTGAAAGACAAGCTCACACAGCTCTACGTGCATCAGAAAGTCTGGCAGCAGCACCCACGCTTTGCTACAGACTACAGTTAAAGAGCCCCTACTGCACTTCAGAATCGGGGTAGCAAACAGTTTTGCTCTCAAAAAAATCGCTTCTTAGTGTCTCCCCTTACAGATATAATGGTAGAGTTTAATCTTAATAGAAGTAACTGTCGTCTTACATAAAATTTGATTAAGTATATCACCAGCGTTATTTATTGATCATAGGATTTAGGCTTTAAATAGAGCTTTTGTGTTCTTCAGTTACAACATACAAAATGGCAACCAGAGTCAGGGTCTGCTAGCTTACAGTAGTGTTAATTGGCAAACAAAATGGATTTATGTAGTACTTCTGACGGAATAAACGTACAGGTCTCAAGAACTTGAAGCCTCCTGGTTCACAAGGCTCCCTGCTGCACAAAACTGACTCTACACTTCACCTAAAGCCTCTTGCTGAGCAGCAGGAGCGGAGTGCTGGCTGGCCCTGGCTGGCCGCGCTTGCGCGTGACCAAGGTGCTCTCTGGTGGTTGCTGCCCATGGAGATCACTGGGGGAGTCAGCGGCAGGGCAGGGGGAGAAAGAGAAAAGCCTTAGTTTTAACGCAAAGAAACTGATAGTCTTTGTGGGGAGAGAAAGAAAAAAAAAACAACAAAAACACCAAAACAAAAAAGCAATCCTCACTTTCTTCTTCTGAATGTCCGAGATCCCTAGCTGTCCAGATATCCTGCACTAGTCCAGCACAGACATTTGTATTCCCACAAATTAATTGGATGTTTAACTGACTGGGGGGAGAGAGTCTCAAAAAATACTATCGGTTTGGGGTCTTTCTTCTTCCAGCCAGAAAGCTATCGCATCTGGTTTGCCAGGTGACAGCACAAATGCTTGTGCAGTTGTGGCCACAACTAGGAACCACTCTCTGATATGCCAACTTAAATGCACGTCAAAGTATTTCTTACTTGACAGAACAAGATGATGAAGATACCTGTCATGTGTTTTATTCCTCTCAATTTGTTCAAGATACTGGGGGGGAGGATCAGAATTTGTTTTCATTATGTTGAACTGTTTCCTGCTTGATTTATTTCTTTCGCTTTTTATTTCTTTTTAACATTTCCTCAGATTGTTGGAAATGCCAGCCAGTATTAAAGTGAAAGCCAACAAATTAATGGAAAACAATGGAAGTTTTTAAAAAATGAGCTGAGGGCCAACGAAGGCATTAAATAACAGGTTTTGTTTTGCCCTCACCCCCTTCCAAGATTTTTATAAGAGCAAATAAAAACAATTTTCACCTTTGACAAGATTTTATGGCAAATTAAAGAAGTTTCTGCAATTTGATTGCTTTTGCCAGTTATAGAAATTACTTTAACGCTTTGGCACAACAAATGTCAAATAGCTATTGGAAGTAGTTAAATCCTTTCACCATAAAGGACCAGTTTGTACATACTTCACATTTTAAATGCCTATTGCAAAAAGCATTTGCTATATCTTATGTCTCTTTCCATAGGCAATCTTCACCTAAATACTTCTGTGACTCAGCTACTTGTGGGTATGTTATAGAAACATTCGTGTTACTGAAACATAAAAATACGCTATTTATCTGAATGTGCTGATCCCCTAACTGCAGCAAAGTGTTCAGTGTTGTTTTACGTAAAACTGTGAATTCCAAGATAGTATTTATTTTGACTTTTGTTAGACGGCTTCTGCTGCTGAGAAAGAACCAATTAATCTCGAGTTTGAAGATACACTTTATGGCTACGGAACATTGTACCAACTTCTGTAAATGGCTCTCACAAGCACGGGCACGAAGAATTGCGTTTTTTCACTGACACACAATAAAGGTTACTTAATAGTTAGACCATTGAATGCCAAGGAAATGTTACTATTACTCAAATATATCATTTTACAAAGTTTGAAAACATCATGTCAAGCGTGATTATCTAATTCCTGTTATCAGAATAGGTATTTTATTATCCATCTGTGGCTCTACTTTGTAAGCCATTAATGAATGGATTTTCATTTTTAATTTGAAGTTATTAGATTTCCACTATTCAAAGGAGATAATAAAACAGAATTCACCCATGTTTTTGGAAGAGTAAATGATGCAGCCTTAACAGATAAATGTTGTCCTGCATAAGGTGTATTTTTCGAACAAGCGTTAGTGCCTAAAAAGTTTATTCCAGCTATTGTGATACTCAGGGCCTTGCTTATTGTATGTGTACAAATATAAACATAATTTTTCCAGCATTGTTGGCATTGTGCTGTTTTACACTGTCCTTCATTTTCACTGAAACGTCATCTTGTTTACTGCTACTGTTCGTCAAAATTAAAGATAATGATCTTATCGTGCAGAGTACACCTGGCTTTCGTTTTTGTAACAGACATACAAGTCCTTTTGCTATCTTCCCTTTGAATGGAAAGAGCAGAAGTCACAAGTTACTGTTCTGATTTTACAAAAGCAATTTAAGCCTCAAATTTGGAATGGTCGCTCTAAGACCCAAAAAACATACGCTCTTTGGAATAAACACGTACATTCGGAGGTACACGTCTCCATACTGCAGCCCGCAGGTCTGCTAGCAACCTCGCTCCTCCTCACTGCAGAAGCCATCGGGTAGGACTGGTTTCAGAACCAAACTGCAGAGAAGCAGTTCTGAACAAAGAGGGATGTATCTATTGGAGTTTTCTCCTAAATCCCGATGCCATTCAGAACATACTTCACGACTGATTCTTTTGGCAGGGGACAAGGATAATGCAACATGTGCTTGTTGCTTCTGCGGCTGCACTCACGTATCTGTTGTGATCTCAAACCGTTCGGAAGCCACAACACAGGAGCAGGGTAACAGCGTAAGTTAACTTCAGGGCATGGCCGAGGTCCATCGCTGTGCTGTGGAAAACCGCACAACTACAGAAACACCGCTGCAGAAACTGAGGTACAGGAGCCACTTTTGAAAATGCTAAGGACTCCAAGACTAAGCCTTGGCTTGCCCACAAACGCTGGAAAAGGCTGGGGCACCATCCTTTCCGCCCCCTGTGTTGTTATTTGCTAAGGAAAGCAGCAGCAATACAAATGCAAATACCAGATCAAAGAAAGGAACTAGAAACCACTGAAGCCACAGTTTAGTGAAGGTTTGTCTATACTCCTCGATTACACCAGATTAACCAAACCTACACGCTTATTTCAGCTTAAATCTCAAATAAAACACCTCAAATTAAATCCCTGCACTCAATACGAGCATTCAGAGGCACCTGTAGTGATGCAAAACAATCTTTAAAGTTCTTGCTAGCTTATCAGTGGAACTTTCTCATTTAAATACACTCTCAGGTTACTGGTTTGAAAACAGCTGATCTAATTCAATCTAGAAAATGGATAAACAAGTTTCCCTTCCAATGGTCTTCACATACACTACACCAAAATCGTTCAACTTTAATCAAAAAACATCCTCGAAGGCCAACAGCCTGATACTAACTTAATCCTAATTCTTTTTTATGTCTCTTACCAAAGAAAGAACGTAAATTTTGAACTTTTCAAACTGATATCTTATGTAACACCATTTGTTTACTAGTACCTGACTGAGAAGACACGGACCATTAAGTCATCATTGACTGGCTAGCAGTTCTGGTCCCTGCTAATCTGTCCTATATTTGGGCATTACCTACTGGTAAAAAAAGAAAATAAAAAAGCTCTAAAGAGAAAAATAAACAAAAAAAAAGAAAAAAAACAAACAAACAAAAAGCGAAGGAGAACTAGGTACCCTTACAGATGACTTAAAGCTCTAAAGAACATTCTTAGTCAGAGAAAATGTTTCAGTCGATATACAGTCTTCACAAGGCTGGCAACAACGCGGACAACACAGGCACGGCCATTCTCAACACCTCAACACCACTAAATTCAGAAGCCTTCAGTTTAGATCTCATGGCAATTTTGCAAGGACTCCCGAAAGAGGAGGAGAAAACTAACTCAACTGGAAGTTTTCCACCAGAGCTTTTTAAGTTATTGCAAGGCAACAGGTATCATTGGTGCAAAGCGAAACAGCAGCTACTGTAGTTGAAACCATGCTTTTTTCTTTGCCTTACACTCAAAGGCAAAGTTAACTGCATAGCAAAGTATTACCTTCGTAAGTTACCGCTAGTCTAGACAGAGATGTTAAAATAGGAAGTGAGATTATATATTTAGTGACACTGTCCATTTAACAACAAAGAAATGCAACAACTCACCCGGATGTAAGTATTCTGAATTTCTACCAATTCTTCACCAAGCGGAACAACAATTTTTTCCACTTGTCGCTCATGAGAATAAGGCTGAATTTCCGGAGAATCTTCAGCACATAGTTCGATCTGGGCGATGAGTAAGTTGGAAATAACTTGCTGCACAGCCTGTTTGAGAAGCCACAAAAAAATCCCAAAACCAACACATTTGCTTGTTAACACTCCAACAATGCAAGTCAGTATCACATGAAAGGGACTATTTCCATATTTTAACAGGCCTTGACTGTAATTGTAAGGTAAAGGTACTTACTACCTATAGCTGAAAAATGAAAGATTCTGCACTTAAAGAACTCTAGTATACAAAAAGCCAATATGGTAAATTCATGAATGCAAAAAGCACGCAATTTCACGAGGGCTGGAGTGACAGAACTCACCCTTTGGCTTTGGGTGAAACACCTGATGAGAAGTAACCTGGAACTAGGAGCTTAAACTGAATTTAGTTGTCCATCTGCCACAGACTGAAAACCTAAGCCTTACTTACATTTACCCAATACACTACACTGAACAGAATATGAAAGCCATTTTGCATTGAGAGTATATTCTTTTTGGTTCCTGTAGGTTTCTATTCTCAAAAACCAAAAGGTATTATTTCCTGTTAGAAAGGTCAGGAAATAATACACAGTCTATAGCATGAAAAAGACAAACCCTCAACAACTAATGGGCTGTAAAGAGACTCAGTTTTTATGTGGAGTTCTAATAGACTTCAGTACCCTGCACGGTGTTCAAGCTGTATCAAACGGCATTAAACATAGCTTCTACCGAAACTTTATTATTCCAACCACGCAAGTAGATTTGACTCACCTTTGTATCACTGCCTGGTGTGGCACTTAGGGCCAAGATCCGAAACTGATTCGTATATTTGCTTAGTTCCCTTACAACCTAGAACAGGAAAGTTTCCTTTAATATCCTTAAAGGAGATTATTTGCTTACACAAACTATATTGATGAAAAGATCACCTAAGTAGAAAGAACTTAACAAAATATTCTAAAAAGAGTCAAATGGGAACGAGGAAACGTTCAGTTTATAACCATTTTATCCAAGAACACTTAATCTTGATGAAGTATATTACCCCAGGCCCATTCAGCAGAACAACCTTGGTAAATTATGAAGTGATTTTTCACTTGATTTAACAAAAATATTAACAGCACACTAACTCAAGCAAGCTGCCAAAATATAAGTTTGAAGAACCACTCTTAAAAAAAGTAAATCACGGATGATTAGTCCCATGAAATCTGAACAGAAATTAGATGACAACCAGCCATGCCAACCAGCACTCAGTTGAGTCTCACTTAAAAATGTTGCACTAGCAGTTGGGAAAATGGCTGAATATTCCTTAGACCTCCCCGGTTCTCATTCTACAACCCTCCCTAAGACCAAATTGCCTCCCTGCTTCATTTTCCCACAGAGCTGAAGTTTGCCAGTGCTATCAGTGAACATCGTGCCTTCCCACCAACCACACTGTGCTGCACAGGGAGGGGAAAAACCAACAAAAATTACAAATAATATAACATAACATAAAAGCTACGGAGAATAAGTGTATGGCGACTAAAGAGGGATTCCATTTGTGCCGATAGTTCTACTGAAAATCATCCAAAGGTGCAGCTAAAACAGAGAACAAAGCCTGCCAATTTCACAGCCACGAGGAGTGACAAGGGGTGATGGAAGAGATTTTTCTGAGCTGTAGCTACGACGACTCAAAAGCTAACGAATACAAGTCTTGGCTCTGTGTTACAGAGCGACTCACGTAACAGTTAAATATTTTTTTATACAGTATAGTAAAATACAATAACCTATAAGCTTAAACTCTTTGAAAACAAAGTTGCTATAGTTCTGAAAAATGATAGAAGAAAACTGCAACACTGGCAAACCAACAGGAACTGTTTTAACCTGGCAAGCTACCACCTCTTTTCCAGCATGCCAAGTTAGAAAAGTACTAAAAAACACCTACTTTCCTCTAAAGAGGCCTAGTAAGCAACTAGACACAACTCCATATACATTCAGTCAATTTCTCCAGTATATAAAACTGTAACTTTCTTTTAGGTCACACATTGCTATGAGGAGATTAAGCCAAGATAACGCAACAAACTCTTTGCTAATCAAGACAAAACCCAATTTTAAAAAGAAATCTTGAATTCGTTTTACTAAGATAAAGAACTTTACAAAAAAAGCCAACATTTTTTTCTGAAAAAAATACCTCCCCCATTTAAGAGCTATTCCAACATAGCACAAACACACCAGAGTACACCTGCAAATACAAACACATCTGAAAGAAACAGCAGTGACTTTTTTTTTAAATTGCCCCAGTCAAAAAAAATATTTTGAAACAAAACTTAAAATTTTATTCAGACATTAAAAAAATTCCCACCTCACCTTACCAAGGTTTGATACCGGTTTTACTTAAAAATAAGGCACTGATGATGTAGAGGACTGACTGATCTCTTTCGAGCAAAGCTAAGGACCTAAAGGACAATCTCCCTACAGCAATGATGCCAGTGACACTTTATGGAGATCCTGTAAGTGATTTTGGGGGAGGTTTTTTGTAATCGCGCAACAAGAGCGGGGTGACTCCAGCATTACCTGACAGTAGGCGTGATTTCCAAGGGCTTTGTGGGCTTCATCAATAACCAAACATTTAATCTCTACAGCAGGGCACGTCCCACGAGAAAGATCGTTCACCATTATTTGAGGCGTAAGGAAAAAGACTCTCTTGGTAGTCCATAGTTCCTTCCGACTGAGGGCTTGGGTTCCCCCTGAAAATTAAAGAAATAACATTAGCAAACTGTTCTGCTGAGAACACACCGCGACCCATGGCCAGAGAGCAACAGCAGAAGGCCGATGGGGCTGGCAAACACATGTCGGCTTTGGAAAATGAGTGCCTTTTAAAATAGCACGCACCTGATCCTAGTCCCATTTTCAGGAAAAAAAAAAAAGGTGAACACAATAACTAGGACGATTTTTTTAATTAAAACACTAAATCCAGAACAGCGGAAAGCAAGGCTAGAAAGCTCAAGGTGCTCCCTAGCCTCCCGCAGCCCTACACCTAATCTACACCATCCATAACAAAGGTTTGCGCTTAAAAACAGGTTACGGATTCAGTCATTAGGGCAGTTATTGCTTCAGTAAGCCATAAACCATGGGGTTCATAGGGGTTTGCAAAAACTTTAAAAAAACAAAAAAAAAAGAAAGAAGAAAAGTGCCATTATTCTTTGGCTTAAGTTTCATAGAGAGCACATTTTCTGTGCAGGCATTTACACCTCTGTGGAGAAAGCCCAAGGCTCTGTGAACCACAGGGGTGCACCCCAGAGCTCCAGAAAACCCGCTCCAGCGCTTCACCATCCTTTTATTGGTGACCCGGGCTTTTAACTATCGCAAAACCTGAAATTAACCCCTTAAAAATCTTCTAGCTCTAAACAAAGACTTTTTTCTTTTCCCTCCGCCGTGGCTTTTCGCGTTGCTTGCCCTTAAGCTAAGCAGCCTCGACGGCTGCGGCCCCTCCGAGGGCGGCCCCCAGCCCGCCCCG